TTACCCAAACCAAGTATCGATCGGTACTTCGGTTTGGGACCGATTCAGTTCGGTTCGAATAAACCGAACCGAAATGCCCAGCCCTAGTAGCAGCAACAAACAACATTATTGGATAACTATGGTTAACATTCTGTCAATTGAAATTGACGGTGTAAGAAACAAATTTTTAAAAATAAAATAAATGGAGAAATTAAAGGGTTTATTTTAATGAATCTTTTATTTTAGTATAATGCAAGTTTTTTTTTTCAAAAAAAAAAAAAAGTTTAATGAATCTTTAATTTTCTGACTTTGTTTGAAAGCCTTGGTACAGCTAAAGTAGTAGAGTATATACCTAAAAAAAAAAAAAAAACTTCATTTCAAATGAACACATGAATTTAGATCTAATTTCTCACAAATATGTTTAGTTCAAAAAGTTTGACCTTTTTTCCATTATATTATTGTCTATATTTGTACATGCTATGTCGCTATGGACATTAAAAAAAAAAGAAATAAAGAAAAAATTGTGGTTTTAGTCCATCAATTATATTCATATTGTAGACTCGGGTCATAAATTATTATCATATACAAAGTTTTCTATTTAATTATGTGTAAAGTGGCAAATTTAGTCCACCACTAACAAATTATGTTAATATTAATAATGCATTTTAAATTTCTATATTATTGAATGACACCTTAGTCATTATATATATCATTTTGTATTAAATAATTAAGGAATCATTGAGTTTGACAAAATTATTTTTTCAATGGAGTGTAGCTAATAAAATTTTAAATTTATTTTGGTTTCTAAATTTACTAAATATTACTAGTTGAAATAAATATTACGAATTTAAGTGCATTGTTGTTTTCATGTCAATAAGTTGGAGTAAATCTTCAATCTATAAGCGCTTTCAATTCATATATCATTTTCATTTTCTTTGAAAAAAGAAAAATAAAAATAAAAAGAGAGCAATGGTTCTACCACAATTGGATTTTCAATTTTCCATTTGCAACAAAACATCACAAAAAACAAGCATATTAGATCATTGACAGATATAAAAAAAATTATGAAATAGTTTGCTCGTATAAAGAAATTTTAATATGAAAAACTTATATGAATATACATATTATAATTCAAAAATCAATATATGTTATTTAAACATACATTTTGCTTAAATGCTTTTCAAGAATCTATGTAAGAAACAAAAACATTACAAATAATACATATTGGTCATATATTACACTTATGAAACCAAACATATAAATATCACCTTGATTATTTAGAAAGATAAATTCATTATCTGACCAGTAAATTGACATTTAACTTTGAAGTTAAAGATAAGTAGATACATGTTTATAAATCTTAGAAAACTAGAAATTTTTCATTACAAATGAAGAGAATCGGTTTATATATGAAGATTTAATTGAGAGAATTTGAGAAACTCTATCAAATGAGTGACAGACTAATGTCTTTTTATAATTTGAGAATTTGAAGTGCAATGTTAATTTTTAGCTGCATTCCAGTGGAAAAAAAAAAAGTATATGTCAAACTCAATGATTAATTAATTAATTAATACAAAATGATATAAATAAAAAATAACTAAGGTCTCCCTCAATAATTTAGAAATTTAAAATGCATTATTATTATTAACATAATTTGTTAGTTGCGGACTAAAATTGCCACTTCACACATAAAACGGTAATAATGCATGGACTGAATCTACAATATAAATATAAGAGTTAATTCTATTTTTGGTCTTACTGGTATAGGGGTCATTCCAATTTTAGTCCACCATTATTTATTTTGCCACATTGCGACCACTGTTATTATAAGTGTTCCACTTTTAGTCCACCGTTAACATTTCGTCTCATGGCCGTGTAATCGAGGGGTATTTTTGTCATTCTATGGTTGAAGCTTCTTCTTTACCCTTTTCACTGGTTTTCCTTTTTTCCTTTCCCAGCCAAATTTCGTACGCCGCCACTGCCCAACTAGCTTGCTCGGAAAAACAAGGTCGTCGACCACCACTGCTCAACCATGCTATCCACCTGATTAGCTCACCGCCGTCACCACTGCTCTGTCAAAGGGGTTGCTGCCTCTGTAAACGCCGGAGGGGAAAGCTACGCTAGAGAAGATCGCAAAGCTATCACACGCCAAAGGGCCGCTGCTTCGCTAGAGTTCCTCTCTGTCGTCGCTGCCCAAGGTAATGAAAGAAAGTCCTCTTTGCCATCCATTTCCTCCGTCGACCACTGCGGACGGAAAGTCGTCGTCTTGGCCTTGTCTTGCTCTGACGACGACGACGACGCTGCACACGACTCTTTGTTGTGTTATTCCTTTGCTAACAATGACGACGACTTGATTTGCTTCGTCGACGACGAAAGCTTCATGTTGTTCTGCTGCGCCCACTTGGCGTACTTCAACGACGACAGCTCCCCCTCCATCGATGTCGTTGCGCACGCTATTACGATTGCCATCGCCACTAACTGCAGCGACATTATTGCGGTGAAGTTATACTTAGATTCGCATTCGATTTTAGGTTTTAGGGTTAATTATCTGATTTCCTTAGTCAATCATGGTCTGGCATGGGAAGTAAAGGTAAGAAGAGACAATGGAGGAAAGACAAAAATTCCCTTGTACTACACAGCCAACTGACGGAAATTCTAACGGTGGACTAAAAGTGGAACACTTATAATAACAATGGTTGCAATGTGACAAAACAAATAATGGTGGACTAAAATTGGAATGACCCCTATACACTGTTGCAAAAACCGCGCCTAGACGCTCTAGGCGCCCTAGGCGGTCCCCAGGCGCCTAGAGGGTGCCTAGCGATTTTTTCAACATTGCCCCTATAACAGTAGGACAAAAAATAAAATTAACTCTAAATATAATTAATAGACTAAAACCGCTATTTTTCCAAAAAGTAACTTAAATCTATTTGTTTTCTTCAAAAAAAAAAAAAAAAAATCTTGATCATATGTCCATATAACGCTGCTCTTTGTTTTATCTATATTTTGATAACATGACGTTTGGTTGGGAAGAAAGGAATTGTAATTTCGTGAGAAAAGAATAAGATGAAAATAAAATAAAAATTCAAATTACATTGTTTGATAAAGAGGAATAAAATTATTGAAAATGAAAAGTGAAGATATAAAGACTAAAATGCCTTTGTTTAATATTACCATGTAGTGTGATGATATTTCTGTTACCATTCTAAATAAGTGGTCATAGGATCGATCTCCGATGGTGGGGGCTTTGATTCTTTCGACTAAAAATGTTTGAGAAAGTATAAAACAAATACTATCTTGTAAAAAAATCATAAACGTTTTGAAATAATAATAATTAAGGGAAAATGTGACAATTTCTTCATTTTCTCCTTTCCCTTCTACTGTTGAACTCCAATTCAATGAATTGAAAAAATTGCAATTCCATCCAACCAAACAATGTAGTTTTAATTGCTACTGAATTTCATTGCAAAAAAATTATAATTCATGTCGACCAAACACCTATAATAGGGAAGAGAATGTAATTTTTTTTTTCTTCAGTAATTCACTAATTCTTTGATATCCGATAATATTCATCTTTAAATTTTTATCAAGTACACTTTTAACGAGACACATTTATTGGCAAAATGAATGACAATAAATGCTAATAAACACTTTGCAATTGCTCATGGTATTTGACTATTTGTCTTTTTTCAACAGTTGATTATATTAGTGCAGCATAGTCGCATTACTTGTAATTTTCTTTATATTTTTGTTAGGTCAAATAAAAAAAAGTCATGTTAGGTTTTGAATAATTTGAAATAGTGGGAGTTCAACGTCCCAACCTCCATCTCATTCTTCCTTGTTTTTTGTTTTTTTTTTTTTTTCTTTTTAAAAATATTTGTTCTTATCCACATAGTATGGCGCCAAAAAAATTTATTGATATTTATTGGACCCACGGACTTTGCGATTCATGATCTATGATTTATTTATTTATTTATTTATTTATTTATAAGGACAAATAAGCCATTACGGGAATATCCCAACTGTCCTACTACTAGTCTCATCCTACCAAGACTTTTCAAATTTGTTCTATTATTGAAACAAAATCCTTATATAAATCAAAATTATAGTAGCTGTGTAATTATCTACAAAAACAAGAATCTATGCATGAAGACGAGAATCTGAAAGAGAAACAGCAATCATTAACCTTGAAATTTTAAAAATTTCGATGTCAACGAGATATTTCTAAACTACTTTTTCCTCTAGTGGCCATATTTGATCCCACATCTCAACTCGATATTCACTATTAAAATTAGATGATATTTTATTTTATTTTAATTATAAAAAAAAAAAAAAAAAAAAAAAAAAAAAACTTCCCTTCAAACTCAAGCCCAATTCAAAATATCTAAAAAGTGTAAATTATTCTATGAACTCGAGTCCAAAATGCAAAATTTGCATATTGAATGTTCACAATTCAAATTGTATGTAAATTGTGAACATTTAGTATGTAAATTGTGTATGTTAGTCACAATCCACCTTGCAAGGTGAACCCCTTACTGGTTGAAAAAAATTAAAATATTTATATTATGTAATAAACCGATAATTATATCTAAACATTTAAATTTTGACAATTTAATATTCATTTTTTTTGTATTAACAAATATATCTAATTATTATGCATAATAAGTATATCAAACCTTTAAACTTTACTTCTCCCAAAAGGTTGAATCCCCAACCCTAAAGGCACCCCACACTCCAACCCGACACCTTTAAACTTTACTGAATTGACTATTAGTTGCCACACAAACTATATAAAAAATTACACACTAATATCATTCATTTAAATATAATATATCAGTATAATTCATATAACCCAAAAAAAATCATCAAGTTTGAATTTTTTTACCAATCATGTTTTGGATATTTCAAGCAACACATCAATAGCTTAACTCACTCAATAATTACTTTGGAATAAATCTCCAAGACAATGCTTCCAAAAAACAAACACAAACACTAAACAGATATTGCCAGAAGAATAAGAATAATAACACGGCAGAGAGGATTCTATTTTGTCCAGTAATGTTCATAAGATTATATACATACAAAACCCAACTGCTTTAAGGTTAACAGGATCAATGTACTCATTGAACAACATGCATCTAGGTCAAATATATCCTCAAAACTACCAAGATTATCATGCTTCCACATACAGAACCAGCTATTTGCAAAGAAATAAGAAAACTGTATTCGCAGGGTACCTGGAAGATTGCCGAATAATAACATTCACGGCGTCAATGTTCTTGGAGTGCGGTGATCATCCCAAGTACTATTCTATTAGAAGAATTGCTGAAGCCAAGGGTTATTTGTTGCATCCTTCTCCAACTTTGCTTTCAATTCTTTTAAGTTTTGCAAAGCTTGATTCATATCTATCTTGTCTAGTGGCAACTCGGAGAAATCCTTTAGGAACTGACGGGCTCGGGCAGCCCCTCTAGACACATCATCAGAGTCAAATTCTCTCTTGCGCTTGGAGGTTGCCTGGATACAATTACTGAGTTTTCAATGGAATATTCCAAGATAATAGAAATTAATGACGTAGCATGGCATTAGGACCTTACAATTGGTAAATCTATGTGCAAATGCATCTAACTTAGGCAGACTAATAATATCTATCGAAAGTAAAACTAGCTCCTTTTGAATGTCTACAAGATCTCACACTGTTTGGTGAGAAATAAATTTTGAGATTTGCTCTCATCTCCTTTAATCGGTACAGTGGCAAAGCTTCTATGTGGTTCTTACTTCTTAATATGATATCTTGGCAATGATGAAACCAGTAAAGTCATAACTTAGGCACACTTCTTGCAGGTTGAAAATGAATTCTTCCTCCATTAGAAAGGAAAAGTTTGCACATCACCTTCTAAGAATACTTTGGTTGGGAGATCTAGATTGCATGGATTAGGAAAGGATATTGCAGCTTTCTACCAACATTAAGATCAATTGAACTACATCTTTATGTGTTCATATATGAAAGAGGGTGATCAAATGAAATCATATGAGAACCAACCTCCCCATGAGTCCACGAGAATCAATCTGGCGCATTAAAAAATAGATCTACGGATGAGATTAATTGGGGGAATTAAAAATGCGTGTGTGCATATTAAGCATGTCCCTATGTTGCACACAACACATGCTTAATATGCACACATCATAATGTTCCATATGCACACGCACATTTCTAATTTTCCCAATTAATCTCATCCATAGATCTACATTTTTAATGCACCAGATTGGCTCCCATGGACTTATGGAGAGGTTGGTTCTCATAGGAACATCACCCTATATATATATATTCTTGCAATTAGAGAAGACAACACAATAGGGTAACAAATGTGGATACCTCTTTAGCATCAGAAGTAATAATAGATGCAGGTGAGAAATCTTCCAACTCAGCTGCCTTTTCCCTTGCAAGGGCAACTACACTCTCTGGAAAGTTCGCAAACTCTGCAACATGAATCCCAAAACTTTGATCACAGGCACCTGGTTCAACCTGGAATAAATTTTATTAGAGAGAAATTATGTACAGCTTATTGTTCTTTTAATGCAGATATATCTACAGTTTAGAAAGAACAATTAGATTCTAGAGTTCCTTAACAATGAATCATAAATTGTAATTAGCAAGACTGTGTAAGAAGTCTTAGGTTCAATCCCCCTCCCCTCAGATGTACCCAAAAAGGAAAAAAATCACCCTTTTGGGGGTACAATTCATGGTATGAGGATTGAATTAAAGACTTCAAATATGAAGTCTTTGACTCATGCCACCGCAGAGCTTTATTTTGTTCTAAAGGTGGGGCATCAAACAATCTCAAATCTGGTGAATTGGAATTCTTAAGCGCCCCACTGTGTCATCTGATAGTTATCTTTAACTAAAATGCAATCTGATGCATTCATTGGTCAACAATACTACCGCAAAAGGGCGCAAATCTCACAGATTGGCCATGCCCTCGATTTAAGCAGTCTGATTTATTCTCTTTACTTTTTTATCTCAATCAGTATTATTAAGAATTTCTTTATAGTTGGTAATTATCTTTCCTTCCTTAGTTAATTATGTTGGTAGTCCTAAAATATGACAGCAATATGTGATTGAAAGACAAGTTGGAATTTGAATAAAGATCATTCAAGAAGATTTCTCTTCTTCCAACTCTCTGTCCTTATTTCTCAGACTTCTCTACCGCCACCATAGGTAGAGATAAGTCTTCCTCTTCCTCTCTTCTTCAGTACTCCACAGGCCCGTAACGCGAAGTCAAACCCGTGAACATATCACAATCAAGGGGTAAAGAATGACAAATTTATTGACTACCTAACACATGAAGTGGTAAGACGTATTATTTCTGCTCAGATTATATCCTGAGTGCAGAATTCCAAGCTATTTCCCAGATAAAGAAGCAGCTGTCTCAGGTCATTAGGTTATGACATGAAGTCTTCCCAGTAAAAGCTTCCATTTTAATCACTTTCCAAATATTTAAAATTTATCTTTAAAATTAAGCAAACAGAGCAGCAAGTGAACGTTTCAATGGAGGACAACTTCACAATCCAAATATCCCTATCAAGGGGTTTCTACCTAAGAGGAACTTTGACACACCATACACTGGTGACTGGTCACAAGAATTCTTACAGCTTAACTCTTTCAGTGTATAGTAAAATAAGCTTTCACATTAGGACAACTAAACAGAATAACAAGCTCAAGCAAAAATGAGAGGGTATGAGTAGCTCTGTCTGTAAGAGGCAAGAAAGGAAGATACCTTGTAAAGCATAGTTAACTTGCGATTTGTAGAGTCAATGTGTGCACTAACATGATAATTTGTTATACCAGCACTGTTATTGGAGTGATCGCTATCCATATGTTCATTAGCCAGTGCAGTCAGCTCATGGAAGTGAGTGGCAAATAGTGTAGGTCCTTTAATCACTTCAACAATGTGCTCACAAATGGCCCAAGCTAAGCCTGATAATTGCAGTTAAGAATAGTAAATAAAAGTTAATTAAGTTCATAAGTTGTAGAAAGTATTCCTCAAGAAAAAAAAAAAAAAATCATTTAAATGTTACACCTAGATTTGAGTAATAACGGAGGTTTTGTCAGTACCCAATCAAAGTGACACAAACATTGCAAATCCTTTTCAATGATTGTGGTTCTGTCGTGTACTTCAACACTTTGACAAAAGGCCATGAGGTAACAAACAAACAATACTTATCACAAATGCAGCTGGCTAAGTAATTATGTAGATGGGATCTTTAACTGTAGTTATGTCCATCTATATAATTCATCATATACAAGATCACATGCAAATACCGAAGCAAATAAAGACCAGGAAAATAAAACAAAATTTAAATTAACAAAAAAAAAAAAATTTCAAGGTGAAAGAAAAGATCAGGTTGTCAAACATTACTTCTAGTGAAGAGTTCATCCAAATATATATATATATATATATATATATATATATATATATATATATATATATATATATATATAGAGAGAGAGAGAGAGAGAGAGAGAGAGAGAACTAAAATATAACTAACCAAATCCATCATAAGTTGATGTTCCACGGCCTAATTCATCAATAATAATCAATGATTTATCAGTAGCTCCTTTCAGGATTGATGCAGTCTCAAGCATTTCTTGCATAAAAGTTGAAACTCCACGAAGCTGATTTAAAGAAAGGGGACCGGAAGTTAAGATTTTTGTCAAAACTTTTGAAATATGAAGAAACACCAATTACTGTGATGAAATTATCACATAACTAGAAAAAATTGACAACCATAAACCTAGATTCAGCAAGTACATGTGGTTACAACATATTGTGTTAAAAAGAATTGAATGAAAAAATAGGATCAATGTAATTGTAATAGATTAAACTAAGACTTAGTGGAGTTGGGATAAGCAGATTGGTTACAAAATAAAATTAGGCCTTACCATTTATGCATAAAAAGAAAAATGAAATGAAGAACAAGTATTCATTCAATAATTATTAAAATATAATCTGGCACATGAATAACATAATAGGAAGCAAATGATCATTCTTGGCAGATTGTTTGTTGACATAAAGTTGTAGAACAATAGTTCTTTTTGCAGTTATGACATTTGTAAAGTATGGTGAGGTTTAATATGAACTGGGACTATTAGTTAATTTCTAAAAAGGGAATATTAGTTAAGGTTTCAAATGAAGATGACACATAAATACAAGAATAAAATGCTAGAAACCAAATTAGACTTCTTACTGATCTTTTTATTGAAATGGATTTACAGGGGCATACTTTTCTTTGCAGTAAATATGGCAATTGCAAGTATAATGGGGTTTAAAAAAAAAAAAAAAAAAAAAAAAAAAAAAAAAAACCTAGAGATGAGTTGTTTAGGCTTCAAATGAAGATGACAGATATAAAGTAGCAAAATGAAATTTAACCATCCATTTAAAAAAATTACAAAGAGTGCTATTTGTTAAGGCATCAAATGAAGGTGAAATACAAAAAGGGATAGGAAGGTAATTGATCAGCAAGACAGCAACGTGGTAAAATTATAACAAAATACACAGAAACATTAAAGAGCAAACACCCTTCTTATTTGCTAATTTTGTTCACTGCTGAAATGACAATCACAGTTTCATTTTCTTATAAACATATTCAGCCAACTCACCTGGCAATCTCCAGCTCCTACACGGGCAAAAATGCAGTCACGAACAGAAATGCTAGCTTTGTCACAGGGAACAAATGAACCAACTTGTGCCATCAGGATATTGACCCCGACCTGCTTGTGCAATTATGTACAAATGAGCCAGAGATTTTATAGGGTAGAATAAATGTGCAAGAATCTATCTAACAAGGACTTTCAATCATGTGCCAAACTTCAGAACCCTAATATAATAGGGAAAGTGTTGGGCAAGTGCAAATACTTTGCAAAGAAATGTATATCCCACCTTATAGACAAGGAAACATTACAAATCTTTAATCTTTAATCTTTTAAAATTTAATAAGAACCAATGATGTTAGTCCTTAAATGGGATGAAAATTGTGTTGGTACTTGGTAGTATAAGTTGTATTAAGTGTTTGTTCTTTGTGTTATTTGTTTTGATCCTTTGCAAATTTTTTTCCAATTTCACCCTTCACTTTTTCCTTTTGACATTTATTTTAACATTAGTCTTTAACTATAATTAAAAATATATGTAGTTTCTATAAATATAATTTAACATTAGTCCTTTGTGTTGTACATTTATAGTTTCTTACTAAGTTTATCCTTAATATTTTTTTCTTTTGTCAGTTCTACCCTTATTATGTAAAATACAATCACATGCATGCATGTGTGTATATGTAGTTTCTATAAATATAATTTAATTTAATAATGATTTTTAATTAATGAATGTGTATCTATATGATTTTCTTATTTGAAAACTTCTCTTTATTTTAACTTTTTATATATATAAATTAAAATTTTTACTTCTTTTTTTTTTTTTGTGAAAGAGTTTAGTTTTTGATTTGTATCTTATTTGATGCATCATTGGCTTGTTTTCAACAAAATATTTCTAATTCATTTATTATGATATCGATATTAAAATCTAATTATAATAGAAGAAATTATAAGAAAAACTAATTGCATTTGCTAAAAGCTAAATCTTTTTTTTTAGTTTTTTTGAAACACAATACCTAATGTGTTCAATGCATTTTTTATAAAAATTTATGCTAGATAATAATATTTCTTATTATCAAAAATTAAAATTATATATTCTAATATTTATAAGATTTATGTGTTTATTTATTTAATCATTTTGATCATTTAATTTTACTAACTTTTTGTTGTTAATTGGGCATTATTCAATCATACATGATTCGTATTTACAACTAGTACATAAATAAATATTATAATGACAAGCATGGAACTATCAGTTTGTTAATTTGTGAATTCATACCATTTCAAAAATATGAAAATAGGAATATAAATTTGAATCCGTTCAAAAGAACAAAATGTCATACCTGTCGTATGAATGTAGATTTTCCACCCATGTTGGGCCCAGTAATAATCTGAAACCAACTCTTTCCCCTAACCTGGGAAAATCAAGAACTTAGTATTCCATCATTGTGAAAGACTTAACTCCAGAAACAGCACCAATGAACTTGATGACTTACTAGCTTACAATCATTTGGAATGAAATTGACCCAATCTTGAGCTTCCACACAAGGATGTCTACTTCCTTCTAGTACAATATCTCCCACATCCTTACATTAGGAGATTGTATTAGCTTATATAACATTTCTATTAAATAATTTTATACAATTGTATAATAATGCGCAGAGTCATTACTGGAGGGGTGATGTCTGGCCTTGTGTAAGGAGTTGGGCAATTAGCAGCCAGATCCGCAAAACTGAGCAATACATCCAACTCAGAGAGCAGCACAGCTATACCCTCAAATACCTGTACAGCCAATGCTTAGTTAATATCTCAATGCATAACAATGGCCAAGGAAAAGCCAAGGAGGGAGAGGGGGATATTATGACTAAAAAGACATTTTGCCATATAGTTACCTCAGAGAAACTTGAAGCAGTTTGAACTACTCGAGCTACCAGTTCTTTCTGGCAGTTTTTATACTCCTCAACTATCTTTTGGTATTGGTCCCCGAGTTTCTTGAGTTTGGTATTGGTAAATTTCACTCCATCTTTTCTAGTTTCAAGAATAATAAATTGGGTGTTCAGTTTCTTCCTAACTTTAGGCTCTTCCTTCTTGGTAATTCTGAAGACATGTCCAAACTGCGGTCCTTTATCTAGCTTAAGTGCTTTATCAATAGCTAAATCAAGATCATTGGCAGTTTCCTTATGCAAATTGCGAATTTGCCGCTCTAGTGACTCTTGCTCATTTTTTAAAGAGGATAAGTTTGAGTCATAGGCAGCAGAAATCATGTACTCCCCATTCTCCAGTTGATCAAGGTCAATTGAAGTTTCCACAAGACCAATGAACTTACTTAGGTGATTATCATCAGTCCAATAGTTTAGATGGTCCAAATACCTTTCCTTAATCAATGATGCAAATTGCCCATCATGTCTTTCCAAAGCACCTTTGATATATGGAAGTCTGATACTTGACTGCAAAACAACAATTAACCACAAGTATACTAAGAATCTTTATTTATGCGTTGCAGACCTTTGAGATATTTTTCTCTATGAATGATTGATCGTTGGTGAAAAGGGAAGGGTAGAAAAAGAATATCAACAGGGGGGGAAGGGGGGGAAGGGGGGGAGGGGGATGAAGCAAACAAAGCACCTGATAAAGTTTTACAATATGCACCAAGCCAGCTCTCTTCTTCTCAAGATTGCGCACCAACCGCTCAACATCTGAAATTCGTTTCAAATGTTGCCTCAGATCTTGGCGAAGTTCAGCATCCTCAACAAATGCTTGCACCAAATCCAGCCGACAGTTAATTTCATTTACATCCAGTAAAGGCTGTTTAAGCCACATGTGCAACAGTCTTTTACCCATTCCAGCTGTACAGGTTCTATTCATGAGGCCAAACAAGCTAAAGTTCTTGTTTGCATCCGACTTGCTCTCCAGGACATTTAGTGCCCTCATAGCAGCAGAATCTAACTTCATGTAACTGTCAAGGTCATACCTTCTAATTGTGTAGTTTCCATAATTATTCTCATCTGCAAGAAGTTCTGCATAACAAAGTATGGATCCCAATGCTCCGGGTGCCAACTCAAACCCAGAGACTAAATCCCGAACTGGTTCTATGGAACCTTTAACAAGTCTACCAAGATCCTGCACCAAATCTCTTCCTTTAAACTCAGATTTCTTTCTTTCAGTTACCATTACACCACATCTTGCCATTACCTCTTGCAAAGCTCTACATTCACTAGATTTGGTACTCTCCACAGGAACAAGACATTCTTTGCAACCAAGAGCAACCAAAGCAGATTCTACATTTGTGAAGTGGCTATCATCAAGAAATTCTGTCAATCCAAGCATTCTCTTAGTAAGATCAACATAACCTAACCCAACAACGCATCCATTTTCACGAATGTTTGGAACAAGAGCTACAATTACGGGAGAATCTTGCATTTCATTATTTGCAAAAAGAATGTCCTCAAAACTTCCAAGATTCCCAGGGGTCCCAGTTTTAACTAATCTCCAGTTTGAGCCACTACCCTCATACAACTCAAGAGTGTGATCAGTCCTCTCCAGGAGAAGGTCACGGGCTATTGTCTCAAACATGTTTCTACTCATACTAACACTAGAGATGGCACCAGGTCCACTACCCAACTGCCGTAAAGCAGTTGTAGTATGGTAATAAGTCTTTGCTATGAAAGTTGCATTGTTCCCATGAGCTGTGTAATAATCCTTAAGACAAGGAACAGATGCATTAATCATTACTATAGGAGCCACAAAATGTATGCAAGTATAGAAAAAGAACACAGATCAAGCTGAATAAGAACATTTTGAAGTCACTAGGTTTCACATGACACCACTAAATGTAGAAATCAAAGGATTACTAATGCAGAATTGGTATATAATTAAATGGATCATAAATTTACACCTGCTTCCATCAAATTGGTAATATAGCTATGTGAATTTTTATAAAAATTACTTGGACGTACAATAAATTTCTTCAAAAGAATTGAATGTTGATTAGCGTTTATAGCAAACATAAAGGACATTGGTTTTGCAAGGATTCATGATATAAGTTCCCACTTCTTAAAACAATCAAAAGCTATTTTCTTTACTACCAGCACAAATAAACTGAAGAACTCAAGAAAATTTATTTGCAAAAAGAAGAAAACATTTTGAAGTGAAAAACAGCCACTTCTTTACCAAAAAAAAACAAAAACAAAAACAAAAAAACACTACACTATTAGTAACACAATAACACTTGGAATACAGACAAAGGCCTAGGCTGAGCAAGGAGCACTTACTCGGCGATCGAAAAACCGAACAACCCTAGTGTCCTGCGAAAAACAGAGGATAAATTTAAGCTCATTAACATGTATTCTCAGTATTTCCTCATTAAAAAAAAAATGGAAAAAATAATTAAACAATTATTTAAAAAAAAAAAAAAATCGGTTACACTGGGTAGCGTTTTGAAGAATGAGAGAAACCCTTGAGCTTGCTTGGCATCTATGATTTAAATTTAAAAAAAAAAAAAAAAAAAAAAAAAAAGATGGAACAACATTTAGATTACTGAAGTGAAATAAATGATATTGAAATTGAAGAAATTAGGGTTTTGTTGTACCGAGTTTGAGCTCCGGAAGCTTGTTTTGTTCCTCAAATTTTTCATCCATTTTTAAGGATTAAGAAGAAATTGCTCAATCGAAAATGAGGAATTGTTTAGAATAACACTCTCGGCTCAGTGTCGGGCCACTATACTATATACCCCATGAATTCACGGCAATCGAAAACGGAGGGATTTCGGGTTGGCGGGAATGATAATGGCGGGGTTTTAGAGATATTGAGCAAAGTGAAGCGCGTGTGTTCACGCTTTTTCAGGTTATGAAATATGAATTATTGACTAGAGTATTATGATTTCTGGTTAATTATACTTTGGTCCCAACATTTTAAGAGCATTTTCAAAAGTGGAGTTTTTTTCACGCCATTTAGAAGTGAGAAATAGAGGCAAAATTAAAAAAAATTGATATACGCTCCCGCTGGGCGCAGTTAGGCTGTGTTTGGGTCGCACATAGGAATCGGAATCAGAATGGGTATCAAATACTTGGTAATGGTAATGGGTTTTAGTGAAAGTATTTAACATGTTTGGTGGTAGGGTGGAATGGGAATGGTTACTAATAGTAGTGCTTGAGAATGAAACCCTTATTTTATTTGGGTATGAGTTTTTCAATTGATGAGGTATTCAAAACCCATAGTAGTGTTCTAAAAATCTATCAACCAAACAACAACAATCACTTTCATATCCATTCTTATGAGCAAAACCCACGAACCAAACACACCCTTAGTGTGCAAAACACACACCAACGCAAGTAATTTATTTATTTTTAAATATTGTAGGCCCACAAAAATTTAGGTCGCAAATGTTTTTTTTCTATTTTTTTCCTCCTCTCTCCTCCAACTCATTTCTTCCCTCTTTTATGTGTCAAAAAAATACACCAAAAATTACTGCTAGAGCCTAGAGATACCCTAAGATCATTATCCTTTATATAATAATAATAATAAAGCTATATGATTTGGAAAATAATTAATGTTACAATTAATGCCACAACATCCTTTATTATAAAAATAAAAATAAAAATAAAAAAAAACAGAACATTTAAAAAATAAAATAGCTATATATTATATAATCATATAAAAAATATACTTTTTATATAATCATATAAAAAATGTGTTCAATTAGAGTTTAAATTTACACATACAAAATTTGAAATTTGCTTTCCAAATGTAATTATCTTAGTTATTATTTGTATTGTGAAAATTATAATATAGATGAAATACAATTAAGAATAAATCAATGTAATTATTTAAATTATCTCTATAAGTTTATTTGAATATGCACATAATTAGAGATTATATTAACCATACAAAATTATAATTTTAATTAATTTTAATTTTAATTTTAATTGTAATTTTGTATTCTATAAAAATAATAAATACTTGACCAATGGAAACTCAAAAATATTATTATATTAAATAATTTAAAATATTTTAGTTTTTCAATTTTTTTATTTATATTTATAATAACATAATTTTTTTCCGTGCATCGCGCGGGTGAATTACTAGTCGCATATAATAGCCCAAACATCAAAACTGTTCAGAAAACAATTAAAAAATCGATTTAAAAATGTTGAATTTTTTCATTTTATTTTTTTCTTCAAATTATTTCAATTTTCCAACTTTCTTCATAAAATTAGAAACACACACCTTTTTTTTTTAGTATTCACGGAATGTCAGATTACCTTAGAGAATGTTAGATTGCTGGGAATGTTAGATTACTGGAAATGTTAGATTCCTGTGTTTGGTTAAAATTGGGGTATGTAATATAATCATGTTTGGTTTAAGGTTATCTTTTATTCACACACTATAATATCCTTAACATATTTTCATATATTTTAATAAATTTACAAATTAAAATAAATAAATAAGATAACGGTATCATATATAATTACATGATTTTAAAATATTAACTAAAATATTGAACTTGAGAAACAAAATTATTTTATATGCTAACCTAACATAATAAAAATAAAAATATATAATTACAAAAATAATTATATGTGTGTGTGTGTGTGTTTGTGTGTAATAAACTAACATAACCAAGGTTATCTTACATAACCTTAGAAATTGAAGGGAATCACATTCCCTTCAAAATCCTATGTGGAGGGAATGTGACATTCCTGGGGAATGTTAGATTCCCTGAGATAATGTGAACCAAACATAGGAATGTGAGCTTTGAAATGTCACATTCCCTTAGTTATGTTATATAACCTAAACCAAACGCCCCCTTAAGGTTAAATTGGGCTCATTGATAATGGGCTAAAATTTTCAATGGCCTATTCGTTATTTGGGGAATCAAAAAAAAAAAAAAAAAAGGTGAACAAATAAAGAATTTAATATTTAGAAAAATTTTGGCAAATTATACCGTACACCGCGGTGCATAATCGATTATGCACCGAGCTTAAAAACAATGTCATTTTGTTTAACGAAAAGAAACGGCACCCGTTTCGCAAAAAATAACTCTGTTATTCAGTTTCATTTTGTACACACTGCAGTTTCAGTTCAACACAACTACAGTTTCATTTCGATATAACTATAGTTTCATTCAACATTTATACACTCAAATATGTGAAAATGTTATTTTATTTTATTTTATATACACTATAGTTTCATTAAAACACAAATACATGATCATTTCGATATGAAGATGTTGAAGGTCCAGCTTAGCATGAAAAACATCAAACAATGGAATAGGCAAAGCATTGGTAAAATCACATGCTGTTTGCTTGTGTGAGGGAATGTCCATCAACTTGATCACCCTTCATGCACTTTCTGCTAGGCCTGTGCAACGGACGGGTTCGGACGGTTCGGGTTCGCGGAAGGCTAATCCGTTCGGACTTCGGATACCCTATACTAGCACCTAACCGTTTTTTTTACCACCTAATTCCCGTAAGATATTCTTCCGAATTACCGTTCGGATATCCGACTCAACAGTCAGATAGATCGGTTATTGTTGATAAAAGTGTAATTGCAAAAATAATAAATTTATATAACAAAAAGAACTAATTTTTAAAACTTAACCACTTAAGTAGTCTAAACTACAGAACTACTTAAGTAGTAAGAGTGTTAGACACTTCACAAGTTCACAGTTACAACTTACAAATTAAAATTTACATTCATAACTCATAAGCATTTACTGATTACAGACTAAGTGACTAACTGACTAAGCAATTAAGCATACAAAAATACAAAATAACAAAACTTGAAACTTGAAAGTCCAAATGTCCAATGTCCAAACTCCAAAGTCCCAAGCCACCAAGCCTCAGCAGTCAGCAACTCAGCATTCATAAAAAAGAATACCAGTAGGCAGTAGACCCTAATAATATGATAATAACCTATTTGGCTATTCCTCTTCCTGATAAGTAAAAACACAAAACTTTTATAAGCTTTAAAATATATAAACAATTGTACATGAATGAGTTAGAATATGAGATGAATACATTATACATTATAGATAATTTAAAAATTTGTATATAGAGTGCTCAGATTGCTATTTTTCCAGATCAACCAAGGATTGGGGGGAATTGCTCTTTATGAGTATGACACAAAACACCACACTACATAGGCAACATGCCAAACCCAATTCTATATATTCAAATAACATGGTGGAAGCATCATCATTGCACAAGGGGCCAAAGACAATTAAGTAATTAACAATAAGTCAGTAATAGAGATATGGAGACTTGAGAGAAGTGAAGCCATATACATTACCACTTTACCAGACATCATTCATCATTCAAGTGCCAAATGCTCAATGGCAGCAACATTTAAAATGTCACCAAGCCATTGAACACTTTCCAATTCCATTGCACAGCCAAGGAATGAGGGCCTGAGGGACATTGATATTTGATACACATACACTGTAACACTGATGCAGTCATACAGACATATCATATAATAATCATTGATCAAATATCAAAATAAATACAGAAATGCTTTATGGAATAAAAGTTATAAGTATATAACCATACAGGTATTGTAGGCAATAATCCAACTCCAGTGGTGGATGTGCTGCACAACTCTGCAAAAAGAAAAAAAAACACAAGTATAATTAAAAGAAGTATTAATTTATAATAAATATTTATAAATTCTAAGTTAAAATGTAAATTTTAGAGATTTACCTTTTTCAATCCTTTCAACATCTTCAATATTTTCTTCAACAGTGATTGGTTGATTGGCTAACCTCAACCAATCCTGTGCACACACAAGTGCCTCAACAATCTTAGGAGTTAGGGAACTCCTAAAGGCATCTAGTACTCTCCCAATGGTACTGAATGCTGATTCAGATGCAACAGTAGAGATTGGAACAGCAAGTACATCCCTTGCCATTTTAGATAACACATGGAACCTATCAGAATTCAGCTTCCACCATCTTAGAAGGTCAAAAGATTCATCATCATCCACAATGACCTCAGACAAATACACCTCCAACTCTGTTTTTTTCATTGACAAATCACCAGTACCCAATTTTTGTTTCTTAATCTGGGATTTCAATAATGCTTGAGGTTTCCCAACAGAAACACAATCAGAAATTATAACTGAAGAGGCTGACTTGGCAGAATTTTCAGGAACAGACTGGGCAGGAAAACAGGAGACATAATCTTGAAATAACTCCTTAAGGCCAGCAACAACCTTATGAAACATTGTTTTACCTTTGTCCTCACCATATAACTGGGTAAACTGAATGGGCATATATTCTATTTTGTCCCTGGGGTTTAAGATATTTGCATAGAATATGAGAAAGTTCATTTTTTCAGGCTCACCCCAATACTTATCAAACTTTGCCCTCATATTTGTATCCATCACTTTAACACTGCCATCAGCTTCCACCATATTACTTAACAAGCAAGACAGATCAGAAATCTCAGAGAAAAAAGTATTAGAAGTCACATACAGTGAACCAGAAATTCTAAAAGTCATTTCATAAAAAGATTTTAGAATCTGTACCAAACCAGAAATGGTTTCCCAATCCATGAAGTTAGGTATATTATTCTCACCCAAATCAGATTTAAATCCACTGTCTGAGCTTGCATACTCTTCAAAGACTTTCTCATACAACAAAGCAGCACTCAGCATCATATAGGTGGAGTTCCACCTTGTAAGAACATCAAGACACAAAGACTTCTTGGCTTCCACCCCCATTACATCAGCTAGCTCCCTAAATCTTTGAAGCCTAGCAGGTGAGCTTCTCACATACCTAACAGCATCCCTCACTTTTTTAACATCACTATCAGATTCTTTCAACCCATCCTGTACCACCAAGTTAAGGATGTGAGCAATGCACCTCATGTGCAAGTACTTACTCCTAACAGCAGTACAACCCCATGACACAAACTTTTTCTTTAAGAATCCTAGGGCAGTATCATTGCTAGAAGCATTATCAACTGTGACACTGAAAACTGATTTTAGACCCCAGTCTATAAGACAACTTTCTAAAGCCTTTTCAATACTTTCACCATTGTGGGAATAGATAGGAACAAATGAAATGATTTTCTTTTGGAGCTTCCACTCACTGTCAATGAAATGTGCAGTTATGCACATGTAGTTTATTCTCTGGACTGAGGTCCATGTATCAGTTGTGATACTAACCCTCTGACTACAAGTCCTAAAGAACTTCTTCAAGTTGAGCCTCTCATCAGAAAAAATCTTTAAAATGTCCCTACTAATAGTCCATCTTAAAGGGATTTTAAACCTAGGACAGCAAACAAACACAAACTTTCTAAACCCCTATCCCTCAACTATCCTAAAAGGAAATTCATCCAGAATAATCATCTCAGCTAAGGCTCTCCTTATCAAGTCTTGGTCAAATACCCAAGTACCTAACACCCCTTCTGATCCTTCACTACTTTCAGTTCCAGCAGAAGAAGGTTCACGTTGGAAAGTAAGCAAGGACTGCCTTGTATCCTTAGAGTGAGGATTTTTAAGGCAATTTACCACATGAAGTCTGAGAGAAGAAGTCTCATGTTTCTTGGACTCATTACAATACACCCTAGCACAGTATAAACATTTTCCCTTGACAACAATGCCCTCAGAGTCTTTGATCTTTTCAAAGTGATCCCATACAGGAGATCTGGTCTCAACCACTTTCCTTTTCTTAGGAACAGGTGGAGGCAAAGGCTGTTGAGACTGAGATGTATTTGTCTCTACAGCTGTGGCTTCCACCTCAGGTTGATTTCCAGATAAACCACTAATACTTTCCATCTAAAAAAAGGAAAGTATCAGTGAATGGGAAATCACTCAGGGAAAATCATCAACAACTATGGACAGAGGTATCAAGCATGCACATTACCACATATATTCATATAATTACTTTCAGTTAATTTCACATGTCATCATGTATGCAGAATTGCACATAAACGATTTAAGGGTCACATATCCATAAATTAATACAATTTACAATTTACAAAGAAATCCATATTTAGGCATTCAAGCTAAGTAGATGTATTCCACTTCATAATGCTCATCATCTATATGGATTTCACACACAGGGGCTAGGGCTTCCACCAGATTAGGGACAATTAACCCTTTAAGCCTTTACCACAGTTCACCAGATTAGGGACAATTAACACAGATTAAGCTTCCACCAAAAGATCACAAATTAGAGACAAGTGAGTAAGTGACATGCAATCTGGAACTTCTCAACAGATCACAATCTCACTAGGGATGGCAATTTAACCCGCCCATCGGGGGAAAACCGATCCCCGCCCCGACGGGGACGGGTTCGGGGATTTATTTCGGGGAACGGGGGCGGGGATGGGGAAATTTTCCAATCCCCGCCGGGGAACGGGGCGGGGACGGGGATGGCATTCCCCGTCCCGTCCCCGTCCCTGTTCCCCGATCCCCGCCCCGATCCCCGAATCCCCGATTAGTTATTAATAATATTATATAATTATATAATATATATAATAACTTATTATATATTATATAATATTATAGTATTAATAGTATTAATATTAGAATTGTAAAACAAAGGATTCAAGTCCCTAACCCTACTGTCTCTGCGTCTTTTATATCAGTTTTCAATTCCAAGTTTCAACCGCTTTCGTCTCTGCGTCTCTGCCCTCCTCAGACTGCGTCTCTCGACAACCAGTGAACCAGTCTCCCTCTCCGCGTCTCTACATCTCTGCGTCTCTCGCCGTACGATATGTTTAAATCCTTTATAGAATTATAGTGTTTTGTTGAGAGGCCGTACGGTATGATTATAGTGTTTTGTTGAGAGTTGAATGGTTTAGACAATTCACAATTGAGTCTAGTTTCTGCAGCCTCTATTATTGTTAATGTTTATAGATACTTTATAGTGTTTTCATTATAGATACTGCAGTTCTATACTTATGTTAGTATAACCACACAAATTCTAGTTTTACTAACACAAATTATGAGTCTAGTAATAATTACACAGATTTAAGTTCAGAAATTTTATACCTAAATTTGATGTGTTTTAGTATTCTAATCTTTCTATTTTTTAATTATATGTGAATTATACATGGAGGTAAATTAATAAATTATACATGCAATTTTTCTGTTTCATTTAATCTTTTGTTGTTGAATTTGATTTAGATACGTGCAATATATGTTACTTCACTAGTTTGATACTTTGATGTCAATACTAGTTGTATTTTATAATTTACTATTACTATTACTTATTAAAATGGAAGGTGATAATTCTCATGTAGGCGGTTGTGACTTGTTAACTCCAACGCCCATGAGTTCACCGGTAGAGTACCCTAATTCATCCCCCGTGGATTCACCTAGTGCTAGGAATGAACCAGAAATTCAAGAAACTCAAGGAACTAGTCAAACTGTTGAAGGTGAGCTTCTTGTGTAGTTTTGTATTTATTAACTTGTTCAATTTGCATTTTGTTTATCGTCTTATTATTTGTCTTTTGCACTTGTTTATTTTTGTTTTTTTTTTTTGTTTTAACTGTTGAAGGTGAGCCTAAAGTTGGTGAGAAAAGATTAAGGTCGACTGTTTGGGAACATTTCACAAAGATTAAAGTTAATGGGATAGACAAGGCGGAATGTAATTATTGTAAGAAGCTACTTGGGGGAGAGAGCAAAAATGGTACAAAACATCTGCATGATCATCACAAAATTTGTAGAATGAGACCTCACCAACCCTTTAGGCAACAAACACGGACCTTAAATAAAGACAAGGATGGGAAAGTGAATGTAAACAATTATAGCTTTGACCCCATAGCTAGTAGACAGGCACTTGCTCGTATGATTGTTAAGCACGAGTATTCACTTAATATGGTTGAGCATTCTGGTTTTAGGGAGTTCATGAATATTGTTCAACCTTTAATGAAGATGCCTAGTCGAAACACCATTAGAGTTGATATTCTAAAGATGTATGAGGCTCAAAAGATCACATTTATTGAGTCTTTGAATAGAAGCTCAAGTAGGGTTGCATTGACTACGGATATGTGGACTGCATCACCTCAAAAGAAGGGATACATGGCTATTACAGCACATTATGTGGACAACAATTGGAGTCTACATAATTTGGTTTTGAGGTATGTACACTTTATGAAATTATTTTATACAAGTTGATTATTTAGTGTGCAATTTGTGAAATTATTGATTGTGTATTTATGTTAGGTTTATTGTGTATCTATGTTAGGTTTATTTATGTCCCGACTCCACATACATCATTGGCTCTTTCAAGAGAAATGTTGAAATGTATTTTGGATTGGAATCTTGAGAGAAAGTTGTCTGCAATAACTGTTGATAATTGTTCAACTAATGATGCTTTAATTGAGCACGTTGTGTCCAAGCTTAACCGTAAGCATCTTTTATTTGGTGGGAAATTTTTTCATATGCGTTGTTGTGCTCATATCTTGAATTTGATAGTGCAAGATGGGTTAAAAGTTATGGGAAATGCATTTGAAAGAGTTAGAGAAAGTGTTAGTTTTTGGTTAGCTACACCAAAAAGACAACAACTCTTTAAAGAAAGTGCAACACATTTGGGTATAGAATATTCAAAACAGTTAGTTCAAGATTGTAAGACTCGATGGAATTCTACTTATTTGATGCTTTCTGTTGCATTGCAATACAAAGAAGTTTTTTCCCGTTTGGAACAACAAGAGTCTTCATTTCTTTGTGCACCATTTGAGGAAGATTGGGAGTTAGCTGAGAACATTTGTGATAAACTGGAAGTGTTTTATAAAGCATCAAATGTATTTTCTGGAAGAAAATATCCAACTTCCAATGTTTTTTTCCTATTGATCTCTAAGATTAAGGTTAATTTGAGCAATTGGGTTGAGTCAACTAATTTGGTGATAGCAAATATGGCTAAGAGTATGACTGCAAAGTTTAATAAATACTGGGAAGTGGTGCATGGATTTCTAGCTGTAGCTAATGTTCTTGATCCAAGATATAAGTTAGGAGTTGTTCAATTCTTCTTTCAAACATTTTATGGAGATAAAGGTGCATTAGAAATTGAGAGGGTTAAGACATATTGCAATGATTTGTGCCGTGAATATGAATCTTCTTCAACAACAACAGTTGCAAGTAAACGCGTCCAAGGGGAGACCTTGACTCAGGGTGATCCAGTTACAGACAAATTGAAAGACTTTATGGAAATTTCACACATGAGTGGGACTACATCAGAGTTGGACTTGTATTTAGAGGCTAAGAGATCACCATTCGAGGATGATTTGGATGTTTTGTCATGGTGGCAAGTGGAAGGAAAGAAATATCCAACTTTGAGTAAGGTTGCCAAAGATTTATTAACTATTCCAGTTTCTACCGTTGCTTCAGAATCTGCTTTCAGTACTAGTGGTAGATTGGTGTCGCCTCATCGTAGTAGACTTCATCCAAATATTGTGGAGGAATTAATGTGTTCTCAAAGTTGGTTGCTTGAAAGTAAGAAATTTTACTTGGGTAAATTATTTTTAATTGATTATCCATTACTTTTAATACTTTACCATACTCAAATAATATTTGTAGGTAATTGCACCGAGGAGGATTATGAAATTGATGAAGATTTACTTCAACCTCATGAATTAGAAGCAGAAGCTTAGAGGTATATACTGTTTAAAAGTTGTTTAAAAGTTGAACTAAATATATGTATGAATGTATGATGTATCATTATAATTTTACTATTCAAATTATTATTATTATTTCAGGTTATTAATGAAGAGTTGACTAGTTGAGGACCACTACAAACTACTTGAGAGTTGAAGATTTAAAGTTTATTTTGTTTTGTTATATACTAATGCATTTATGTTTGGACTTTGGACTTAGGAGGATTTCGAAAGAATTTAAACTTTGGACTTTGAATATTTTAATTTTATTAAGCTATGCATTTTGTATTTGAATTTTCTTTAAGGATTCAAGGCTTATTGGCTCAACAATACGATTTTTTGATAATATTAATTTTGTTAATAGGCGTAAAAAAATAAAAAAATAAATAAATAAAAATAAAAAAACGGGACGGGGATTCCCCGTCCCCGAAAAATCCCCGCGGGGATGGGGATGGGGAATAATTCCCCATCCGCGACGGGGAACGGGGCGGGGATGGGGAATGGGGGCCATTTCGGGGACGAGGATGAGGACCCCATTCCCGGCCCGGCCCCGCCCCGTTGCCATCCCTAAATCTCACATTATCACAGTTCACACAAATCAGTGACATGTAATCTGGAACTTCTCAACAGATCACAACATCACAGTCCATACAAATCAGTGAATCACAATCACATAAACCCTAATCAAAGTATCAAAGTATCACAAATTAGAGACAAGTGACATGTAATCTAGAACTTCGCAACAGATCACAACATCACAGTCCATACAAATCAGTGAATCACAATCACATAAACCCTAATCAAAGTATCAAAGTATCACAAATTAGAGACAAGTGACATGTAATCTGGAACTTCTCAACAGATCACAACATCACAGTCCATACAAATCACAATCTATAAGAGTATAAGAATATAATCTAAGTATCTAACAATCTAAAAGACTAGGGTTTAGAGAATAGAGATTACTTCATTTCTCTAAATTAAACCCCCGAGAACAAAGGGCTTCGATTCCTAGCCAGCGAATTGCAATCCACCGGAGTATCGCTTCCACTGGAGACTCGCTTCGACTCAGACTCTCAGAGGTCAAGAGCTACCGGAAACGAATGGGGCTTGAGTGCTTCCACCGGAGAATAATAGCTTCCACACTCCAAGTCAGAGAACGAGAACTAAGAAGGGCTGAGAGAGAAGTCAGAGAAAGAGAGACTTTGAGATAACTAGGGTAGAGAGAAGAGAGAAGTCATAGAGTTCTCTAGAAGAAGGGAAGAGGCGAAGAGCTGCGCAAATGAGACTAGGGTTTGCAAGTTCTCCGCTCCTTATTCTATATATACTTAGGCTACACGACGTCGCATTACATAGGTTATACGAAGCCTTAGCCTAAGTCGGGTAGTCAAACGGGTTCGGGTAGAAAATATACCCCCCTCCCCGACCTAAATAAACTGGCGTCGTTCTACGCCTCGGTTCGGTTTTGGCTTCTCGGGTTTGGTTTTCGATCCATTCTTGTGTGTCGGGTTCAGGTCGGTCGGGTTGGGCGGGTTATGCACAGGCCTACTTTCTGCCTCACTACATGACAATCAATTTCAATGTCTTTAGTACGTTGGTGAAACACATGATTCTCACCTATGGCTACAGCAGAGTTGTTATTACAAAATAGAGCAATGAGACTTCTGTTGTCTACCTTCAAATCTGTCAACAAGTATAAAAACCACTGAAGTTCACAAACAGTGGAAGCCAAGGCCCTGTACTCTGCTTCATATGATGATCTGGACACATTAGCTTGCTTCTTAGTCTTCCAAGAAATAAGAGAATCCCCAAGGTAAATGCAGTAACATGTAATTGACTTCCTGGTTTCTGTACAAGTAGCCCGGTTTGAATCAGAGAAGCCCTGAAGTTTGAGATCAGAATTGGAAGCATAGAACAATCCTTTTCTAGAAGAACCCTTGAGGTATCTCAGTATTATATGTGCTGCAACTAAGTGTGTATATCTTGGCTTGTCAACAAACTAACTGAGCTGCTGAACACCATATGAGATATCAGGCATAGTGTTTGTCAAATAGAGCAGCTTACCAACCAGTCTTCTAAAGATTTCAAAGCTGTCAAGCAATGTACCTTTAGTGTTGTTGAGTCTTAGGCCTGGAGTGCAAGGATTTTTGGCAGGCTTGGCATCCAGAAAGCCATTTTCCTCCAAGATTTCCAAAATGTATTTCATTTGATAGAGATTAATGCCACTAGGGGTTCTGAATGCTTCAATTCCCAGGAAATAGTTCAGTTTGTGATCCTTGATTTTAAAAGATGCATCCAACATATGCTTTAGTCCTTTAATCTGATTAGGATCTGTACCTGCCACAAAGATATCATCCACATACACAAGCAAGGCAATGAAAGAGTTATTTGAAGTTTTGTAAACAAAGATGGATCAGCCATGGACTGTTGGAAGCCATCAGTTTGTAAAGCTTTTGTTAGTTTGGCATTCCATTGCCTGATAGCCTGTTTCAAACCATATAAGGACCCAGTAGTTTACATACTTGATTGGACTTGTCACTCTTAAAACCTGGGGGTAAAACCATATAAACTTCTTCATCCAAGTCACCATGTAAGAAAACAATATTGATGTCAAGCTGTTGAATGTCCCAGCCCTTTGCAACTTCCACAGCTAGGAAGGTCATAATGGTTGTCATTCTTGCTACAGGAGAGAAGGTTTCAATGTAATCAACCCTTGACTACCGAGTGTATCCCTTTGCAACCAATCTGGCCTTATATCTTTCTATTGTGCCATCTGCCTTATGCTTCACTTTGTACACCTACCTACATCCAATTGGTGATTTTCCTGTGGGAAAATCTGTTAGAGTCTAAGTATTATTCTGAACCAAGGCAACTATTTTAGACTGCATAGCCTTTTTCCATTCATCATGCTGCACTGCTTCATGATAAGATTGTGGTTCATGTGTAGATGTAACATATGAAACATAGAATTTGTGACCAGGGGACAAATTGTCACAAGAAATGAAATTCTCTATTGGATGAGGAGAAGATCTCAAAATAGATTTATCTCCTATCATAGAATGACAGTAATAATCATTCAATTTGTGAGGGACAGTTCTTAACCTTGCTGACCTCCTAGGTTGTTGCTGATTAGCATGATCTTGTGAGGGATTGATGTTAATGTGTGAGTTATTAGATGTATCATTGCCTAGCTCATCATTGCCAATGGCTGCTTGACTAACTAACTCATCATTATACTCAATGTTCATGCTGGGGCAACTCTCATTCCCAGGACATCTGCTGTTAATATTGTCTGCCATAACTCTGAGATTGGCAGTCTTTCTCATGGGCTCTAAAGGAATAATCTCTGCATCAGTAGAAATGGGAATAATAGGCAATAAGGGATTAAGAACATCACTTACATCATGTGCATGTGTGAGTCCTGGATCTTTGAAGGGGTAGACTTGCTCATAGAACCTGATATCTCTGGAGAAAAAAACAGTTTCATCATTAAGATCATATAAAATATATCCTTTCACATTGGTTGGGAAGCATAGAAAAACACATTTTCTTGCCCTTGATTGCATTTTATTTCTTCCTTGTGGAATAGTAGCACCAAAGCTCAAACAACCAAAGGTCCTGAGATTGTCATAATCTACATCTTTCCTTGTTAATATCTTGAAAGGGGTATTCCCATAAAGTACATTAGTAGGTAGCCTATTGATAAGATAAGATGTGCGTAGCACACAATGACCCCAGAACTGTGCAGGCATAC